ATATAACTTACTATCTTCCATTTCTTACTGAATTGGGTGTCAGCCATTGATATGTATGTGTGAGAGAGAAAGATAGAGATGGGGTGGGGGGCAGACTAAAGATTAGTTCTTATGTTGCAACTATGAATCTTGAACTCAGGTATGTCTTTCCTGATTTTTGTGGGATGGAAGTAACAGCTGAACTATATTGTACTGTATTAATTTGAGTTAGGCGTCTCTGTTGACCCTGTTTTCCCTTGAACATGTTTTTTTCAACTGGGATGTCAAGGAGATCATATACGTATGTACCGTGCAGCGTTGCTCAGTGAGCTGAAACCTCTGGCTGGGAAGCCAATGACTAGGAGTTCGATTTCCCACTGTGCCTTATCAGAGAACCACCCTGTGTGTTCTCAAGCAACTACATCATTTCCTAGCACCCCTAGAAGAAGGGAGTAGTAAACTACTCATGAATAAACTATACATAGAGATTCCTGGAAAGGGTTGCTGTAAGTCAGAATCAGATTGACAGCATATACAGTGGTGCCCCGTATAGCGAGGTTAATCCGTTCCGGATTAACCTTCGCTATGCGAAAACATCGCTGTACGGGGCAGGAAAAGCCTATTGGAACGCATTAAACTTAGTTTAATGCGTTCCAATAGGCGCCCAAACTTACCCCTCCAGCGATGTTTTCGCGGTCCGGCGGCCATTTTGGAGCCGCCAATCAGCTGATCGGCGGCTCCAAAATGGCCACCGGATGACCCGAAACGGCCCCCGTCAGTGTTTTCGCGCCCTCCCCTTGCTTACCAAGGTCGCGAAAACGCTGCGGGGGGGCATTTCGGGTCATCCGGTGGCCATTTTGGATCGGTGGCTCCAAAATGGCCGCCGGACGCCCCAATCGTCGCAAAGCGAGTGCGGCGATTGGGGCAGCTCCGTATAGCGATCCCCAAAAAGGGATCGCTATACGGATTCTTCGTTGTACAGTGCGCTCGTTAAGCGAGGCACCACTGCAATTATTATTCACTTAAGTTTCCTCTTTTGGGAGCTGTAGGAGTTTGTACATCCCAGAGATTCATACCAGGTTATTATTTCTCCCTTGAATATAACTGTATAACAATGGAACTGCTATTTATTCATGCCATTATGCCAGGCTCTACCTGCTGAGTACAGTATTAGGAAAGTATTTTGACGAATAACCTTCAAGCCAAAAAAACCCATGATGATGATTTGTTGCAAGGATCCTACTATGGCATTGATAAGATCATCATACCCTCCACAGCTTTCAAGGTTCTTAAAGTTATTGCATAGAAATGAAACTCATTTTTAGGATCTTTCTTGAAGAGGATGTTAAAGAAAAACCTCCACTTGGTTGTAAATCTGTAGCATTTCTGCTGAATGAAGTATCTGTAGGCAAGGTTTCAGAGCAAATTGATGGACTAAATTATTAGACATCAGGAGGAGATTGTGCATCTTCGTTGGTGACTATTTACTGATTTCTGTGCTGGGAACTAAGGTTAGCAATGCCATTTTTCTTTTTGTTCTAGAAATCTGTATTCTAGAAATGGCAGTTCTGTGAGCTGAACTCCTTATATCTGCCTGTCTATAAGAATAGTCCGGACTCTGCTTGAGCATGTAAAACATGATGGTCAAAATCATTATGCTGAGTTATGCCTGTGGAAGACAAATGGTGTAATTTAAAGCCACTTCATTCTGGAAATTAACAAGTCTTTACTTGGATTTTGAGGTATGACACTGCTTGCCTTCTGCAGGCATAATTAAAGCACAGGATTTTAGCTTATATTTTAGAGTGAAATTTAAAAACCTCACGAAAGTTAGAGTTTATTTGTCAGTCTTGTATGCAGTTTGTATCTTTAATATATCTTTATTCTGGTATTTCCAAATACCAGGTGTTTAAGTGACACAAGTGTACATTTTCTTCCTTCTCAGGAGCTTTCTAAATGTGCTGTTTTTGCTTTGTTCAGTGTTACTACCTTTTACAACATCCAGCAAAAATTTCCATCTTAGCATTGTAGAACTGTGCCATTTGGGTTTGCTTCCATATCTTTTGTTGGCAGAAAACATAGAACAGCTAGTCCTAGGACCTTGGCAGTAGTGACATAGTGAGTACTTAGCAAGGCCGTGTTATTTATTCCTCCCCTCCTCTCCTTCTAGGGCTTACTTGATCTATATTGGGTCAGTTTTATTTAAGTATGGCTGATCCTTAAAAATTCTGATTTGAGTGAATATAGCATTTCCTTTTGAAGACTGCAATTATTCCCTTTGTTGGTGCTTAGGAAGTCAGAGTACTTCTGGAGCCTAAGATGCAGAACAGCTATTCCTTTATAGTACATTCTTGCACGTATTGGGGGTGGAGGACGGATGCTTTTCAAAGAGAGACAATACAAACATAATAAATGGAAGAGAAGGTTCATCTCCCTCATGACTCAATCCTTCTCAAATGACATTATTATTGACTGGACCATTGGTTGCCAAAAAGAAAAATCAATTTTGGAAGTACTTGCTTGGCCACAGATCATAGTACTAACCCAGCACAGACAGGCTGATTTTATCAACTATCTCAAGACTAATTTCCACCATTAGCAAGAAATGAAGTAGAAATTATGGGTATGTCAAAGATGGCTTAGTATTTCTTTCCATTTTCTTTCTCCTTTTCTTTTTGTGTCTCTTAAATGCTTTCCTGTCTCCTTTTATTCTGTCATCTTCTAATGTGATGCAGTTACCTGCTCCATGAAAATCAAAATGTGCAGTTAGTGTTGGCTGGTGATCCCCAAAAGCTCTACTCACAAACCACAGTTTTATCTTTTTGCCCAAGCCCCTCTTGTCACCTTGTCTTTGCATAGGTACTGTGATAAGGAAGCTCCAAGTCCAGTATAAAAAATGTAGGTCAGTAGGCATCTATAACACATTGTCCCTCTGATGAAACAATATAGGCGAATCAAATTTGAATAAAAGGGAATCATCATAATGGTGAAATGGCTTATTTCTCCCTATACAGTATAATAGGAAACTCTGGTTTAATGCAAAATTGGTTATTGTACTGAAATTTAGTCATATTGTAATAGGCTGTATATTTTTAATTGTATTTTCATATTATACTAATATGTTGTTGTTGTTGTTTAGTCGTTTAGTCGTGTCCGACTCTTCGTGACCCCACGGACCCGAGCACGCCAGGCCCTCCTGTCTTCCACTGCCTCCTGGAGTTGGGTCAAATTCATGTTGGTAGTTTCGATGACACTGTCCAACCATCTCATCTTCTGTTGTCCCTTTCTCCTCTTGCTCTCACACTTTCCCAACACCAGGGGCTTTTCCAGGGAGTTTTCTCTTTTCATGAGATGGCCAAAGTATTGGAGCCTCAGCTTCAGGATCTGTCCTTCCAGTGAGCACTCAGGGTTGATTTCCTTCAGAATGGATAGGTTTGTTCCCCTTGCAATCCAGGGGACTCTCAAGAGCCTCCTCCAGCACCCCAATTCAAAAGCGTTAATTCTTCGACGGTCAGCTTTCTTTATGGTCCAGCTCTCACTTCCATACTGTATATCACTACAGGAAAAACGATAGCTTTGACTATGCAGACTTTTGTTGGCAATGTGATGTCTCTGCTTTTTAAGATGCTGTCAAGATTTGTCATTGCTTTCCTCTCAAGAAGCAGGAGTCTTTTAATTTCGTGGCTGCTGTCACCATCTGCAGTGATCAGGGAGCCCAAGAAAGTAAAATCTGTCACTGCCTCCATATCTTCCCCTTCTATTTGCCAGGAGGGGATGGGACCAGCGGCCATGATCTTGGTTTTTTTGATGTTGAGCTTCAGACCGTTGTTTGTCACTCTCCTCTTTCACGCTTATTAAGAGGTTCTTTAATTCCTCCTCACTTTCTACCATCAGAGTGGTATCATCTGCATATCTGAGGTTGTTGATATTTCTTCCAGCAATCTTAATTCCAGTTTGGGATTCCTCCAGTCCTGCCTTTCACATGATGTACTCTGCATATAAGTTAAATAAGCAGGGAGCCTTGTACACCTTTCCCAATTGTGAACCAATCAGTTGTTCCATATCCAGTTCTAACTGTTGCTTCCTGTCCCACGTATAGGTTTCTCAGGAGATAGATAAGGTGGTAAGGCACTCCCATTTCTTGTCATAGTTTACTGTGTTCCACACAGTCAAAGGTTTTTGCATAGTCAGTGAAGCAGAAGTAGATGTTTTTCTGGAACTCTCTGGCTTTCTCCATAATCCAGCACATGTTAGCAATTTGGTCTCTACTTCCTCAGCCCCTTCCAAATCCAGTGTGTACAGTACTTCTGAAAGTTCTTGGTCCACATACTGCTGAAGCCTACCTTGTAGGATTTTGAGCATAACCTTGCTAGCCTGAGAAATGAGTGCAATTATACGGTAGTTGGAACATTCTTTGGCACTGCCCTTCTTTGGGATTGGGATGTATACTGATCTTTTCCATACTGATGCTAATATATATAATAATAATGTTCGAATATATCTGCTGGACCATGACTGTAATAACAATCAGAATACTGAATCAGGGGTGTAGTGGCAGAAAGGAGTCAAGCAAAGAATTCACAGCCCGAAACATAGACTGAAATCCTGTGTCTTAATGTAGTAAGTCAGAACTAGAGTAAGCTGACTTATTCAATGTGTCTACTTTAGCTGAAACTTACTATCTTGCAAAACAAAAATTTAGCCATTGACCCTTCAAATACTATGATTTAACAAACAACAATTCAGGTTGTGCCTCTGTTTCTAAGGATGTGTGCAAATAACATCACATGCTATATTTTCTGACTTTATTTCATAGGCTCAGTAGTGCATTTGTGAGGACACTGGTATTTTCATAATATATTTGTTTCTTCAGGTTTTCTGAACTGCAGTGGAACATTTAATAGGAACATGCATTTTAAAATGTGTTTATTCTAAAGGTGTAAGGTTTTGAGACTGCATCTATGGCAATATAATGCAATGATATTAAAATTAAATAATAGGATTGCTTACCTTCTGTTTGGCAGATTTCTTAGTCTGTTTTTTTTGGTGTGTCCAACTTGCGATTCAGTTCAGTTGCATTTATTTAAGTTATCAATCATAAGGCTTTATTTTGGGAATATGCTGTAACCTCAGGATAAATAGGATTCTTCTTTGTGGTCTCTGTGAATGCACACTAATGGGTTAATTCTGCACCTGCACAGAGATCACTGGAATATTCTAGAGCTTTATGCTAATCCACATAAGACCGCCCCCCTCCCAACCACGGAGTACATCCACCCTCCAAAGTACCTCAGTTCTTTTGTACTGCCACTGCATGAGGTCTCCTCTTTGAGCTGCTTCTCTTCGCCATCGCGATTCCTGAAAAAATAGGGTATTTTGCTATTTCTCGTATTTGCTACAGTAAGAGACTTATTCCTATACCGCCCCCCTTCCTCTTCTCCGCCAGTTTTTTCACCTTCCTGACATTTATGGCAAGGAACACCCCCCCCCATTCAAGATGTGCACTACGTTCTCCAATAAAATCTCTATTTTAGTCACAAATACTGCCTCTTCTATGTGGGAGAAACCCACCAGACCTCCTCCTGCCAGTTTTGCAAAAATTTTACAAAACAGGTTTTAAAACTCAGAGAACAACGTCTGAGGTCCTTTCTTTGGGAAAAATCACTCCAGCCTCCAACCATGGATGCACCTCCAGTTACTGAGCCTTCTTCACACTCTTCAGCCTTGCCTGCTGCTTCTTCAACCCCTTCCAAGGCCTGTCTTAGACCGAAACACAAATCTAAGGCACCTCTGTCTACCAAACTGTGTTCGGCACCACCGTCACTCCCTCCTTCTGACTCTACCAAACAGAAAAAGAAGAAAAAGTCATCTTCTCAGGTCCGACCTACTCCTGTACCGGACCTCCCGATACAGGATCAATCCATGATCTGTATCAGTTCATCGGAAGACGCACTCCTGATTCCTTCTGCACAGCCTGAATCACCTATATTGGCTCAGCTCCCAGTCTCACCAGTTGAGGTGAAGATGACTATGATACCAATGTCTCCGCATTCAAGTCCGCCTTCTACCCATCGCTCCACGTCTGTGGGCAAGTCAGACTCAGCCTCTATGTGGTACCGCAGCGTCCTCTTACATGAAAGAGGCAAAGGAAAGAGCGACACACCTCTCATGGTACCGACTTGGATAGACCCACAACACCAACTGGGTCCATTCCATCCCGGGAACCATCCTGAAGGCATAGGCACTCAAGTAGGGTCAACTCTACAAACCCAAAGAGTATTACAACCCGATCTACAAACATTCCTGGTTTAGAACACATCGGTACCATCCTTCCGAACTTGACTACTACTAAGATCATCGCTACTGACATTGCTATTGCTATGATATGGACACCTTATCTTCATACTTCTGGTACAAACATTGGTATCATGATGCCTACCGATCCTGGTCCTCATCAGAGGTTGCCTCAGTACCAGACTCCCTGGTACCATCATGAACGTCGAGAAAGAGACAGTACACAGATGTCCTGAAGTCTCATACCACAGTACCAAAAAAGCCTCGTACCTCGGTACCATTATCTCAAAAGTCGGTACAATCAGCCACAACTTATTCTGGTCCTCAACCTCTAGCTCGTGGTACCAATCAATCTACCAGAGATCATTCCAAGCAAACCTCGGTACTGGGTCAACATCAACCATCGCAAACCCATCAAACTCATACCGTTCCAGTGCCATCCTTTTCTAAATCTCTCTATACCACACCAATTTTGCCGCCTCCTTTCTATGGCCCATCTTCGCCTGCTCCTTCTTCGTGCTCCTCACTTTCTGTACCAGACCAGGGGTCCATTCCTGACCTACCAACGCCTGATTCTGACAGTAATCATAACGATCCACCATCCCCATGGGATGATTTCTCGTCATACTCACAACTTATCCTACGTGTGGCCAAATCACTTGACGTAGATGTTAAACAACCTCCTCAGGCACAGACTGACAAAGTATATGAGGACATCAATAACCAATGGTCTCTTCCTCCGAGTATGACCTTCATACCATCACTTCTGGACTTGGCCAAAGAAACGTGGTCTAAAACATCCTCCAATGTCGTGCAAGGTGGAAAACCTCTACAGGACCCATGGGAATGATACTACATTCCTCTACAAGCATTCACCACCCAATTCACTAATTGTGGATGCAACTCAGAGCAGAACACGCAGCCATTCTTCCACAACCCCAAATAACAAAGAAGGGAGGAAACTGGATGCTGCAGCCTGCCGGGTTTATTCCCTTGCTTCTTTCAACCTTTGCGCTGCTAATTACATTGCAGCAATGGGAGCATACCATCGCCATTTATGGTCCAAGGCCCTCTGGTCCCTCCAGTCAGCTTCGGGCTAATACTATTTATTTATTTATTTATTTATTTGATTGATTGATTGATTGATTGATTGATTGATTGATTGATTGATTTTTATCCCACCCATCTGGTCTATGCGACCACTCTGAGCGGCTTCCAATATAATACAAACAATTAATTAAAAAACACATAGTTACATAAATCTACAAATGAAAATGTGGAAACCAAGAAAATAGAGTAAAAATAAAAAAAGTAGAAATGAGAAGAGAGAATCAAGTATTGACTGAAGGCCTGAATAAACATCCCTATTTTTACTTGGCTTTTAAAGATACCAAGCATAGGGGCTGCAGATGCGAGGACTAGCATTCCACCAAGAAGCGATGACTCTCGCTTGTCAAGAAAGAATAACGGCCAGACACATCATTGATGCCTCATCTAGACAACTAATAGTGGCAATGGCCCTCTGCAGATATGCCTGGTTGAAATCTGCGTAAATACCAGAAGATATTAAAATGAGGATCAAAGACTTACCCTTCAACAGCTCCGGCCTCTTTGATGACAAAACTGACGATATATTGGAGAACCTGCAAAAATTTAAAAAGACAGTGCAATCATATAATATGCAACAACAGTACAGTCCATACTGACCACAATGGTGTCACCCTTACCAATACCACCAATCACGAGCTTACTATGATAGAAATAAACATTCAACACACACTACCACTAATTTCCAACAAAGGAATACGACTCAGTGACAAAGACCAAAACAGTCATTCCATTGCCCTGACAAGAAACAGAAACAGGGCCTTTGACTTTGCTCTGACCCAAATCCGCCATACTTACCTTCCTCCTACACCTGCCACCAAGTTATCACCACATCTCCCAGTCTGGACTTCCATCACATCAGACAATTGGGTACTTACCATCGTCTCCATCAGCTACGCCATAGAATTCACAGATTTACCACCTCACAATGTCGTCATAACATCACCTTCCAATGTCCTTCAACAAGAGATCTGGTCCCTCGTCTCAAAGGACACCATATCACCTATCACCATCATAGAAGACCATCCCGGTATCTTCTCTCACTACTTCACCGTTCCAAAAAAAGACGGAGGATTAAGACCCATCCTCAGTCTACGGGACCTCAGTTATTACATCATTTCAAGACGTTTTCGGTTGGTCACATTAGAACAAATATTGCCCATACTTCAAGAAGGCGATTGGCTTGCTGTCATACATCTCAGCGATGGATACTTCCATATTACAGTACGCCAACAGCATCGCAAATATCTCCGGTTCAAAGGCAAGCCTTCAAATTCAAGGCCCTTCCCTTCGGTCTCTCTACGGCACCAAGAGTATTTACAAAGTGTACCCATCTGCATACCCTGGGAGTTACAGTCTTTCCATACATAGATGCTGGCTTGTGGTCGTTCCATCTCTCACACAAGCTCTAAAAGATATCAACATTACTCTCGCACGTCTGGCGGATCTGTGCCTAAGGATCAACAAACAAAAGTCTATTCTCACACCTACCCAACATATTACCTACATCAGCGCCGAATTAGACTCCACAAGGGCAAGAGCCTTTCTTCCTCAAGAAAGAATAATCAAACTTCATACCTTGATAAACCAATCCCATCCACACGCTCTTGTCACTGCTCAAACTGCTCAACGTCTCTTTGGCCTCATGGCCTCAACGACATGGATGATTCTTCACACCAGACTAAAACTTGGCTCCCTCCAGTCTTGGTTTCTCACCCTCTTCGATCCCATGACAGACAATCAATCCAAACTTCTCAGGGTAACGCCAGAACTCTCTTCCCAACTTTGCTGGTGGGACAACCCATCCAATCTGCTCATGGGTCGCTCCTTCTCTCCTTTACAACCCACGATATAAATCATGACAGATGCAAGCACCACCGGATGGGGTGCACACTGCAACTGACTACAAATCCATGACACATGGTCGCACAGAGAAGAAATGCTCCACATAAACAACCTAGAGCTCCTTACTATTTTCAAAGCCCTCAAGGCCTTCGAGCCACTTGTAACTGTCAACATAGAACAGATCACGACATACAACACAACAGCTCTGTTTTTCCTGAACAAACAGGGAGGCACCCACTCCCTTGCACTTCTCTATCTAACAGTTCATATATGGGAACGGTGTCTGGAATGTCATATTTTTCCCATGACAGTCTACATAGCCACACACGACAACACGGTGGCAGACGGACTCAGTTGTCTACAAAACAAAATGCATGAATGGTCACTAAACCACACGGTATATCTCAACCTTTGCAACCGCCGGGGAGCTCCTGACATTGGCACGTTTGCGACCCCCAGCAATACCAAATTCAACAAGTTCTATTCCAGAGGTGGAATAAGACGCGGATCCAATGGAGATGCTCTGATGGCAGATTGGTCCAGGAACCTCCCTTCCCGCTTCTCCTTCGCACCATATCCAAGATCAGACTGGATCACGTCAATGCGATCCTCATTGCCCCATGGTGGCCAAGGCAACCGTGGTTCACACTCCTCAAATCCTTGAGCACCGACTACCTTCGACTGCCTCTGGTCCCACACCTACTCTCACAACACCATGGCCAAACTCACCACCCAGACGTACGAACTCTCAGTCTCACAGCCTGGAGAATCTCGCCTCAGTGAATGAAATCTTGGCTCATGGACTTAAGCCTTCCACAACTAAACTATACTCTTACAAATGGTCCAGCTTCACAAGATTTGCTAATCAATTCAACTTACCAGTCTATCCGACCAGTCTAGAAACCGTTCTACACCTCTTTCATAATCAACTCTCTTTCAACGCTGAAAGTCCGCCTATCTGCAATCATAGCTCACCAACTGCAAAACTTGGACGCTACCACGCTCTTCCATCACCCGAAACTCAAACAGTTTTTACGAGGTGTCAACATGCGCCCTTCCACTCCTTCACCACCTGCACAGTGGTCTCTCTCTCTCTCTCTCTCTGGTACTACACTGCCTCTCCCACCCTCCTTTTGAACTACTTGCCAATACGCCTGAATACCTTCGAGAGTACCACTCGAAGAACCAGAGTTAGAGGTAGGTAACCTCTCTATTGATTTGAAGTAGCACATACTGAACCCTCTTTTACATCCTTTTATTTGTGTTGGTTTATATAAAGAAGACATATTCTAGAATCAATATTGTGTAGTCAGAAGAGAAAGTATATCTATTATTCTGGATTATCAAATCCTCAAATTTCAAATACTCTCTAGTTCCCCCAGCTTCTCAGAAGTATGTCTGATCCAACAGAAAACATATATAGCTGTGTTTCACTGTCCTTCCAATACATACCATTGCCAATTCAAACATGGAAAACATGGCTCTGTTGAACTCTATGGGAATACCAGTGCTCAGTTCGATTGGGCCAACAATGTTTAATTTTAAAGACTGTGGGCTTTCCCTCCCCACCCCGAGTTAAATCATGGTTGATACAAAAAAACCCCATAAACAGGAATATGTTAAATGAAAGAAGGAAACACAAATATGTCACTCTTTTTCGCTAGCACGAAGCAGTCTATTTTAAGAGGCTCTCTTTCTGGAATCAGTGAAAGAATATAAGAATACTAAAAAGCCCCTTTTGTGTTTTCTTCCTTTAGTTAAAACATGAACATCCAATCCCCATTGCTATATTCTTTTAGTAGCATCATTTTATTAAACATTTATTTGTGACATCATTGTATTTGTGTAGAGTTTCTTGGAACATCACAGGATTTGCATGTTCTTTTTTGAAGCCAAGGAACATTCCTCTTTTTGATGACAAAAAAAAAATCTCTTCATGGTTACTATTTGCATTTCATGAGAGACACTGGTGTCATTGGAGGTTTCCCTTGAAATACATATGGCAGCTTTGGAGTCATGATTCAAATAGTTAAATTTCTCTGTCCTCCCACATCAACTTCTAAGCTTGCTTAGGCTTCTCCAGGTAAATGTTATAATTGCATTTATACGATTAATGATTCATTTAGGATCCCTGTGCTTCTCTGACTCCTTCAGCTTGTCCATCTCAGAATTTCTAACCATAAGATAATTTACTGAAATAACCAAAGGAAGAGAAGAGTAAAAAGCAGGAGCTTTCTGGAGGTGCCAGACTATTTTATGCTTGCAACCTGTGGTGTCCAACACTAGTCTCCCCTTTCTCAGTTTAGCTGTTCCAGAGACCTATCTATAGATTAGAAGCATATATGCCCACAGTCTCTGTACACTACTGCCAACAATTCTGAAATCCATTAACCAAGAGAAAGGAAAGATTTGCTTAGCAACAGAAGGTACCTTTATGCATTAAAGCATTGACTTAGTGCCAGTCACAGTTATTAGAAGTGGCACAGCTCCACATTTCTCTCACAGGTCTCTCTGAAGAATGCAGGTTGGCAGCAGGTTGAATGCTAAGTGGTCAGTACTCAGCAGATACTGTTTACGTCTTCAGAAGAGAGAGAGAAAAAACCTTTTCAGCAGACATATTGCCCAAAGTATTCACAAGTTTCTGATGGAGTTTTAAAATCTTTTTGGATATCACATTTTTTGTAATTTTGTTTTTGTTCTGTTTGTTCTGTTCTATTCCCCCCTTTACTTTTTGAATATGATAAGCAGCACTATTGACACCATTGATCCTTTTGAGTATAACCTGGTATCATTTGTTCCAAAGTACTGTGGATTCAGTGTTTACAGAGAACCTGTGACTTAGAGTGGCATGCTTTGCAATCCCCTTTTACAATCATTGCAATATTAACTGAGAGCTCTGCCTGTGCAAAATTCACTCTAAAGATGTCTGTGGCCAGTACTGTAAACTGGCACTTTTATATCACCAAGTGGAACAGTTGAAGAACGGAAGCAAGAGGGAGAAGACGAAATATAATAGAGTTCAGAGGGCAGTGCTTCGTGAGCAAGTTAGAATGAGGTGTGAGGAAGAAGTGAGAATCGAAAATGAAGGTAGAATCAAGAAATGAAAATATCATGAAAGTCAAAATGGAGACAGAGAAGTAATAAAACAGAGAAGGGTAAAAAAGGAACACCCAGCAAGCAAGCAAGAGAAAGTAGGTGAGAAAAGGCATCATGTATAAGGTACAAAATTGTTCCAGGAATCCAACTGCTGTAATATCAGTGGGCCTACTGGGAAAATAGGGCTGATTTACAACATCTTGCTTTACATCCATTATCAGCGGACCTGGTAAGTTATGCTGTACATTTCTTCCTTAATTCAATGAATTATGATAAACTGTAGTTATTGTTGACTTTTAACACATGTATGGTATACAGGCATCTTAAAAATGAAGCCTCTTTACCAAGGTGATGGTGGAGCTTTAGGTTTTAGAGTAAAGAAGTCTTTCTGTTCATATTTGTGTCACTGTCTTCCTACAGTTAGTCAGTGCTTGAAGTTGTACTTGAAAGGCCAAGGAATTTTGGTTTATTGTTATCAGTAGATTACACAGAGAGCTCTAGCTTGTTTTCAGAGCTTCATACAACCCTGTCTTACATATAACCCCATCCTAAAACGTGCTACTCTTGGAAATACTTAGACAGAGTTGTATAAATTG